TCACCTGGATAACTTTCATAGAGATTGGACCCCAGCTTGCCTGAAAACCTGGGTCCCTCTTCAATAGTTGGAGTCCGGGAAGCAAAATATGGGGTTAACGCAATCCCTGGCATTATCCTTGCATAGCTATACTGTACCCTCTATTTATTTAGCAATTTTGTCATGAAGTCTTTCCATTACATAACTTGCATATGTTAAGTTACATTTTGTTGCATTCATCTGTAGGCAAAGAATATGTCTGTGTTGTCAGATTACATAGTGCTATTGAAAATGAAGCCAAGTTAGCTAGGGTGAGTTTTGCTGTTTTTCTCAGATGCACAAACTATAGTTTCTAGTGCATTGTTGCTGAAGTAATAAGTAAAGTTTGTAAAACTGTTGCTTTGAACACTGGTTCCATTGTCAGTTATCCTACCCTATCTACAAACTTGTATATGAGTAATGCTGTGTCAAAACAAATGACGATGTGAATGCCATTCTGGATTCAATCCCTATGATTTGAACATTCAGCTAGCCGTCTTGTGTATCTAGTCATCTCCCAGTAATCTTCTATTCTTCGCGACAAACATTACATGATTTTACGGGCATAAGTATGTTGGGAGATGCAGCAAGATATTCCACTGACGCTCCATCATGCCACGCCTTAGGTCTCGTCTTGAGTTTTCCTTATCAACATTGTACTGTGTTTAACATAGGTGATAGAGACGTTGACAGGAGCAGTGTTTCAAAGACCGCCACTCATATCAGCTGTCAAGCGACAACTCAGAGTGAGAACAATATATGAAAGTAAACTACTTGAATATGATGAAGAAAGACATTTGGGTAAATAGTGCATTTCACTCAATATATCGTAGTATTCATTGTACAAGGTGTAATTGGAATTCATGTTCATTATCTACACTCAAAATACATCGCCTGCTGAAGAGAACCTCCATGGATAGTCGAAACGAATGGGGAAAAAACTTCATCAGCGAGCGATGTAACTGATGTTATTTTTTGACAACTTTCAAGCTGTGATTTTGTATGTTTAAACTACCTACAATTTGAAATCATCTGTTTCCTGTCATTCCATATGCATAGCCTTGATGTTCTCTGTAATAAGTGATTTTATTGATTCAAGTCTTGTCAACTACATTACGACAGTAAATCTTTTTTATCCTACAGGTGTTGTGTGGATTAGCTGTGAAGCCGGGACCTACATCCGTACACTATGTGTACATATGGGTTTACTGCTTGGTGTTGGTGGGCAGATGGCTGAACTTAGACGGGTCAGATCTGGTATACAGTCTGAAAGTGTAAGTAATCAGTTTAATTACATTGAAATCGTGACCTAATTTTCTCGTCAATTATAACTCAGTGATTACAAAAATGGTACTTGAAATGCATACCTGTCTGTCAAAAATAAGATCACAAATTACTACTGAAAAGACGGTATTGCATGAGTGGTTAAATACATTTCAGCTGTTTTCATCATGGGGGTTGTTAAACGCATTTACCTTTTAAGAGCTAATCACTTCTTTTAAAAAATCATCAAATCAATGCCTCCATCATAATGAAATTTACTTCCACAAAGCTTTATCGTGATCTCCAATATTCAAAAGATGTCAGAACATGCCGTTAATATCATTCTTGAGTATTCAGTCAAAATACACGAAAGCAAGTCAACACAGTAGATCTGAGCTTTGTATTGAATTCTAAAACATTCGCTCACCATAAAAGATGCAGCAATAACACTTTTTTTTATATCATACCTGGATTGAATAATAATACCTTGGGGTGAGCTCGATTTTGTGTGTGCGTCTTGTTGATTGTTAGCAAGACGTTTTGATTTTTTTTTTAACTGTTCCTATCACCACATACCATCCCTCAACATTGTTTGTTCTCATTCATTAACACCTCAATTAGTGTCAAAAAATATAAATCTATATCAAATGATATTTGAGAATCAATAATCACAGGATCGTGATGTTATTGATTCTCAAATATTTCAAAGCCATAAAATTACCAAAATCTGCAAATTAATAATTAGGTGGTTGAATTTTCAGAGGAGGTGACATTTTTATGCTTTAATTTCAAGTGAATATGAGTTTGGTGTGGACCATATTTTCTCTATTAGAAGCACATTTTAGGTGAATCACAGAAGTGTATCTGTGTTAAAAAAACGTAAAATTTAAACGTTGCAATATACTTTGAATGCAATATTAGTTTCCTTTTGGAGATGTGCTTCTAATAGGGGAAATACATTACCTAAAATACTACCAAAACAACTATTTTTATAAGATGAATATGTATATATGGTTAACTCAAAATTAGTGAACTTGACCTGATTCATGCGGCTTTGATTACGAGTTACTGTAATTGTAGATTTATTTTCTCTCCTCGTAGGACAATATGGTGACGATGCATGATGTAATGGATGCTCGATGGCAACACGATCATAATAAAGATGAATCATATTTGAGAAGAGTTGTTAAACCGCTAGAAGCGCTATTAGTATCACACAAGAGGATTGTGTTGAAAGACAGTGCTGTACGTAAAATGATGTAATTTAGTTAGTTAGATGTAGTTTTTGCAAATCTTGGAGCCTTGCTTGGACAGCGCATTGTGTGTTTTAGGGGACCATATTAAATGGCAACAACAACCAATGCCATTTAAGTAAGCCGAAGAAACTAAAGTCAGTACCTTTTTAACAAGGAGACTGAACAACCGCTATCTGTGATAACGGGAAGACTTGTAATCACAGCTCTTTAAACTAGGGAGCCTGATGACCACT